AGAGACTATAGGAACCACAAGTAGCCCTGCATTCAGAGAACGCAGTGTTCTAGAGGGGTAATAGGGTACTATGAGCTCTTTAAGATATGAAGGGGCCTGACCATGAAGAGCTTTGTAGGTGAGGAGATCAGTAGTTTATGTTTATATTTAGTTTATCAGTAGTTTATTAGTCGTTTATACGTTGTTTACCTCTCAGTGACCGTTGGCAGGATGAAGAACATCCAGAAGTGAATCCCAAAAACCAAAATCACCTGGAAGACCAACTTCCCCAAAACTGTCTTCCTCAAATACAGAGCCCTGTCTATCACCATGGTACCTGCAGACAGACAGGTGGGAAGTGAGACAGGTCAAAAGATAGACAGGTAAAGACACAGACGGACAGACTGACAGGTAAACATACCAAACTGGATCAGAACCATCACCAAGAAAGCTTCAGGAACCTGGTCCTCTGAGAGGGAGGAAGTGATGTCAGCAGCTGCAGAGTGTTTCTGGGAATTTTAAATAAAATAAAAGAAAATAGATTTCAATAAAATAAACCAGATTTAATTAGTAAGTCCAGTGAGGTGAATAAAGTGTGGTGCTACGCGGTCAGGAAATCAAACTTTACTCCGAAGGCCCAGAAGCCGAAGACAATGATGATGAAGTCAACGGTGTCGGCCAGGAACATGAGGACGTAAACATCAGTGACGGCGCTGTATTCTGGTTGGACGAGAGCTCTGAAGAACTGAAGGACCGGACGGTAGAGAGACATACACCTAAGACACAGAAAGAAAGAGAGAGAGGGAGATTCATGGAGCTTTATTGAAGTCAACAGATTAACAAACAACGACAATACCATGAAATTAAATTTTTACATAAAGGGTATTCATATGACATAAGTAAAGCAGAAACACAACAACAACAACAACAATGACAACAACAATAATCTGATGAATAATAATAATAACACTAAGGAGGAAGAAGAATACTTTGTGGTCTAATAGGGATTAGAGAATACAGGACTCAAACGATTCTTATGAATGTTTTGAATTTGGAGAATATTAGTTTGTATATATTTCAGTATTTTTTCAGACAGTACTTCCCACTGTTTTACTCTTTTTTTCTTATTGTCATTTTGCTTTTGTTGTTTTCTCTGTAATCTATCAATTATAAAATCTGTTGGTCAACAAAGTCGAGTGTCACTGGGCACTGGTTAGCTTTAGTGTTAGCATACCTGCTAACAGAGTACGTCTTGGCTCTGATGGAAAGTTCTCTGAGTTTCTCCAGCAGCAGATCCAACCGGCTGGGCTGCTGAGCTCTGGAGCTCACGCTGCCTGAAGAACAAGACGAGGAAAACAACAACAATCATGCATAATTTCTACCATCTTTTAGCAGTCTATCCATTTTGTGGAAAATTCTGCCTATCCCCATCCTCCAGCTCCTCCCAGCTGGATATGCCTCAAAAATCTCCACATGGAGTCCACATGGCATCCTAATTCACTAATTCACTGCAGCTGACTACTTTGAACAGGAGGGAGCGGTGGTTCTCCATTGATCTCCTTCCAGATGTAACTAATCAGTCCCTCCAGGATCTCACAGGCTGTTTTTGGGATTGTTGCAGCCTAAAATGTCTGATTTCATAGCAGCTTTTCTAAAATACAATAATATTGCAAGAATTAGTGAAAATTGCTAAATTAGTTGCAGTTATGTTTTTTGGTAGTTCAGTGAGAATAAAATCACACTGTTCAGGTAAATGTCCGCATGGTCTGATCCTTTACAACCTTTAAACCTGGATCAGTGACAGGAATGACACTGGTCCAATACAGTATGACTGTATCCGTTTCAAAGAATGGATTCAAATATTACTGCAAATGCAGTGGTTAAGTTCAATTATTCTATAAATCTTCCCCATAACAGCCTTCATAGTTCATATTACTGATGTGTCATTGTTTATTTCAATAAAATTTAACTTTTATTAATAAGAATAAAATTAAGATCAGTTTTTGTTGCGGTGTGTTAGATTCTACCTGCTGGAGAGCGCAGCTGGGTGGAGCTGGAGCGTGTTCGCCTCCTGCGACGCAGCACGTCGACAGGGTTGGCTGGATCAATAGAGGTGGCACCGTCAGCAGAGTCATCCTGGTGACGGAGAGTGTCGGTCTCCATGGTAACAGTCTGGTCCCACAGTCCATGGCACTGTGGTGGAGGAGGAGGAAGGTGGAGGAAGACGTAGAATGTAATTTTCTACATTGACTATGGCTCTTGGAATTTAGTGTTTTTTTTACCTTGAGTATGGCTCGGTGGTAGAACAAGGCAAGCAGCTGCAGCAGGTCGTACAGGACATAGCCCTCCTTCTTCTCCACCCCAAGGATGTTAGGGGGGTGGAAGGGTTTAGAGCGGTCCACCTCCAGCTTCTGGTTGAATGGAAAGAAACCAAACTGGAAGAAATACTTGATGACGATAGTAACCTGAGGATACAGACAGGTAGACTTATTGTAAATAATAATAATGATGTGAATAAAAAAGTTTTAAATAAAGTTTAATAACAGCAGCAGAGCACCTCTGTATAGATGATGGCCGTCATCCAGAAGGTCTTACTGGGTCGAGGTACGGACAGCGTGGCCCAGAGAAACACCAGAACAGGAAGTACCAACGTCAGACAGCTGGCAGACACCATGTGGTTCAGCACGATGACCAGGTAACATACTGTCTCTGACCTGACAACAAGACTGAGAATCTTAGCAACCAGAGAGGAATCTGTGGAGTTACCTGTGGTGTATGAGTTTACCTGGCTGCCAGGATGTTGTAGAGGGCGTAGCACAGCTGGAGCAGTTGGTGTTGGTTGCCATAAAAACGGTCTGATGACTCAAGCTCCTCGTCGTAGAAAGTTCTGAAACACAGAGCGAAGCAGAGTGTGAACCAGCAGCAGCTTACAGGTGAATGATCTCTGTGACTCACCTGTGACTTACCTGTTCCTCAGCAGCTCACTGGCCGTAAGCTCCTGAGTGTGAGACGCCAGCACACAGGAAGTGGAGGCCGAGTCAGACAGAAAGTCACTCCTCTGCCCTGGAGTCTGAACCAGCATACGCCTCCTCCTCCTTCTCCTGTGTTCCCCCGCCTCCTCCTCATGCAGGTCCAGGCCCAGAGCAAGGCTGTAGGAGGGGGGGAGGAGGAGGGAGGTAGGGAGGTGGGAGAAGGCGCTGTGAAGGTTAGGAGTCATAGGTTGGTGTTCAATAGGATTCTGGGTTGATTCTTACCAACTGTTAAATACAGAAAGAAGATAAATACTGGTCTCTCTGAGGTAATGCTAAGTAATTTCTTGGTCTGCAAGATGATTTTTTGGGTTTTTCATAGCATTTGCTTTGAAATGAAATTAGTTGGGTAAACTTAATTTAGTAATCTCGGTAACATCCAGTGTATATATCTCTACTTATTCATGTCAAAAATTGTCATTGTGAAAAAGGTCTATTGAAAGAATAAATATTCATGTTGCAGGCTTTTCTGGAACCCATCGTCTATCGGTCAGTATGACTTCTTGTGATAACACCAACTCAATCTTCGGGCGTCTCATAGTTTTGTATAAATCAGGGTACGTAAACAATGGATGAATGAATGTGCGCAGACGAAGGATAGTTCTTGTGCTCCCGAAACAAAAAATAATAAAGAAATATGGACATAACCAATTTCCGAAATTCAATTCAACTTCAATTTTATTGTATGGCCATACAGAAGTTATCTCAGGACTACTTCAATATAGAGCAGGTCTAGTACGAAACTCCTATTTACCATTTACAGAGAACCAACAGTACCCACCATGGCAAGCAGTTGGTCGACGGGGGCAAGAAAAACTGCCTTTTAACACCCGCGCAGAAACCTAGCAGATCCATCAGGCTCAGGTGGGTGGTCATCATTTTGCCTTTGACCAGGTTGGGAAATAAGAAAGATGTTTGTAAAGAAAAACCAAAGAAGAAAAAGAAAGATATTAAGAATTAAAGACACAAAGGAATTCCTATCAAATAAGAAAGAAAGAAATTGAATCAGGACCGATGGATAGCAGACTGTATCATCAACAACAGTAAGCAACATACATTAATAGTATGACGGATGACGATCATGAAAAAAACGACGATGACGATGACAGCAAGCCACCACCATAACAACATATGGTGTTACATCATCACGTCATGTTCTGTGTTTGTTTTTTTACAACAAGAAAGCATTCCAGAGCGGCAAGGCTGAAGAAACTCACAGCAAAAGCATTGTCTGAAACGCAGTGATACTCAGTATCCCACAAATCCAAGCCTGGACCACTCACATCACTTCCACCTCACCCACTTTGGAAAAACTCCAAACTAGAAATAAAACGCAGATTGGTCTGTCTGTCTGTCTGGCTTAGTTCTTAAGATGAACCGTACGTCAGGAGGTCCAAGCATGGACAGATTAAGGCGGGGCTTTATTCATTCCGATGGAATCTGCTCAGTGGCACGTAAAAGTTCAACTCCCAAGTATAAAATTATCCGGATCTTCCGCGTATCCTTCCGCATATAAAATTATTAATTGTGCAGCTCTTCATGGTGAAACAAATCATTTTGAGCAGGTTATGACACATCGCTATACAACCGTTTCTTTCACAATGTAAGCTCATGGGAAAAGTCTTTTGGGGCTGCTGTGCAATTATATGGTTTGGTCACTACGTCAAATTGACTTTGAAGCCCGGCACTCTTTCTGAAGGCTTGGGACTAACCTGTAAGTCGGACTGATCCTCTCTTCCTCTGAAGATGACGAAGAGGATAAAGACTGGACTCTCTTCATCCTTGACAGTTTGGGTCGCCATTTTTGGCTCGTTTTAGCCACAAAGAATACTGGGTCCCCTTCTGCTGTCTCTGGTTTAACTGAAACTGTTTCACCTGAACCTCCTGATACTGGTTCTGTTTTATCAGGACCATCTGCTGCTGATACTAGTTCCGGTCCTGGTTCAAATGGATCTCCTGATATTGGCTCTGGTTCTGGTTTATCTGGATAATCTCCTCCTGGTTCAGTGTCTGGTTTCACCTCTGCTGTTTGACCTCCTGCTTTTTCTTCATCTGTATCAGGATTCACTCCCTCTTCCCTTCTTCTCTCTGCTGAGGTCTGCACCTCAACCTCATGGGTACTGTAGTCCAGGCCTGACTCTCTGGAGGTTTTCATCATCTGTTCTTGGTAGTAAACATGGATTGCCTCTCTGTTGGGAACATTGCCCTGAACAAACAAACAAACATTAAAAAGAATTCAACACCACTGAAACAAACAGCTCAATCTTGGTTTTAGTTACAACACTTCCACCTGATGTGGAACTGTAGTGGACTGTAGTCCTGAGTGAGTACCTGCTTGGCCTGCTGCGTTAACATGCAGCGCTCAATGCGGAGGACGGTGGAGATGTCGATGTGTTCCTGACACAGACCCCTGACCCAGGCAGTCAGAGAGTCCAGCAGAGCGGACAGCAGAACCCAACTGAACTGCAATGTGTTGGAAAACCGACGCATAACCGTGTCTGAAACACACAACACCAGCTGATGGGATTGGTACTTATTTGTGTTTTTACACCATTCAAAAACACAATTTTCCATAATCCCACAGACCAGTAATAACAGCTGGACAGAATGTTGACAGCAGAGATCAAAGCTGCAAAACTGATGCAATTACTTTAGCAGAGAGCGTTGGTGAATTTTATGGATATGGATGAAACCAAAGTACAATGATGTAAATATCCATGCTGGAGTTTTTCATGGGAGTTGTAGTTTTTTCTGTGCTCACACTGTTCTTATATATATGTATATGTTCTCATATGTTGTAGTGGAGCTGAGTTATGTCAGAATACAGAAAATAAACTTGAGGAACAAGCACTTCAGCTCTCTATGTACAGTTAAACAAATAAGAAAATAAAAGCAGTAGACATGCTGATTAATTATTTATTGATCTGATATGAATGAGTGAAGTGTCTTTCCTCACAAAGGATCTTCAGTTGCGTTCACAAACGCGACCACTACCTGAGTGATTATTATAATGTTCCAGGTGGTCGACCTCTTACCTGGTCCCTCCTCTTTCTCGTCCTCCTCCTCCTCCTCCTCCTCCTCCCTGTCCTCCTCTGTCACTTCTATAACTCCAGCTGCTGAACAGGTGGGGGAGTCAGTTAGTTTGGTTGGTTGGTTCAGGATACACAGATATGCAGATGACACACACTCTTCATTTACAATGTCTGGATAACATGAAGACTTCCTGTAGTTACACTGAGTAAATACTAGTGTTTGTATGTCGGGTGGATATCACTGGACTCACCTCACAACTGAAAAGCTGACTGACTGAGTACAAAGGTGTACAACTTCTGTAGAGTTCTTTACATTTCACATAAATGTTTCTGTCTGAATGTTTTAACTTGTTGGACTTCCTAGAATCAATATTAATTGAAATACAGAGGATCATCTTTTAGGAACAAACGACTTCCATCACTACAATCAATATCTATTTTTTCTTTATTCAATAACGCCTGAAAAAGTCTCTAATTAGCAAAGATTCATAACTCTTCAAGGAGCATTGTGAGCATTCATGTT